TAATTATTCTACAGTAATCTACACGGGTCAAAAAGTCCTGCAATTTTCAAGACCCGTTGGAATATACTTCATTCATACCTACTCCCGATCTTTTGGAATTGTCTATCTCCTGTAGATCACTAAGAACACTTTGTTCTTGTATTCTTTCTGTGCATATGGTCCAACATCCCTCAATATTCAACAACCTCTGAAAGCTATTGAAAAAGTACATTTCTAATTATATTTTTTTCAACTTGTGGTTGATTGACCTCAAGATCTAGAATTGTTGGTTGATATCCAAAAAATGTTATGAAGGTAGAAAATAATGATCAATCCCAGTTTTCATAAAGTGGGGTTTGGATATTTGTAGTATAGAGGTATTGGGATAGTATATGATAGATAGAACTTTTGAAAATCGCGAACTATGGCTTCTCGAAAATACTTTCGCTCGAGCGATAGGCAAGCAATAATGATTTTTCTTTGGACACTCGAGCATCAGTTTGGCGATATGCTAGCATAATTCCAACGACTCTTTTTCCATATTTCATACTTGAACTCAAAAACTCATAGTTCATCTATACAACATTCCAAATGATTCTTTAACTTTTACAACTCTTTTATAATAATTCTTTTTTCTAAACAATAGTCAATACAACTTAAAACCCCCAACACTAACCTTGGTTGGGCAGGCCCAATGGTCAATATATCATAGACTAGGCTCAACTAGGTCCAATTCTAGCCTCAAATTAAGGTGATGCTGTGAAAATGTTACAGATTGGGCTTTTTAAGGGCTAGCTGTTTTGAGCGCGTAATAGGTTCTATTTAAACGTTATGAGCCGATAACTCGATTAGATCAGCGAGTTTAGTGGATTTTTTAGATTGGATCGTACTGTAAGTTATTATTGTTTAAAGTGAAAGTTGCTAGCTTGATCCTGGAGTTTTTAATCATGTAAATGATTTTCTCCGTCAACAAATCTTGTATTATTTACTGTTTTATTTACTACTGTGGCAATTCGACATGGGATAAAATTGACTTGATTGATTAAACATCTAAAACAATTAAAATATGACTTGTTACTTTTAATTAATAATTTTAATTCTGCGTTATTCACATATTCACCTCTCTGTAGGCGATTTTAGGGTCGAACTTGTAAATTTCGGTTAGAATCAAAGTTTTTATTTTATTTTATTTGATTGAAAAAGGGATCAAATCATCAAATTATTTGATAATTGTCGTTCGTTAAGCCTAATATTTGGCCTCTATTTTTTAAAATTTCATTTTTGACCGCACATTCTTCCATAAAATAATTTTACACAAATCAAAAAAATTCTTTCTTTTTTTAATCACATTTTTCAAATAATTACTATTCCATAACATATTTTCTTACAAAAATTGGGTTCAAACGAGGGCTAAACTTTCTTTATAAATTGTTTAGAAATTATTTAAGTTTACATGTTTTTCTACCACTCAAACACGAGTATACAAGATTTTATCACGATGTTCAATGTGAGAATTTGCATATTTTGTAAAGAAATTAAATTAAAATATTATTTGTTCGAACATATTTTTTAGTGGAAGCACTTGTTTGACAACCATTATTTGAAAACTCTTTTTTTTCTATATACTCATTTTTAACCACGCATTTACACAATAAAATATTTTGCACTTAAATTCTAAACTTTTCATATTTTTTAACCACACATTTTCCTAAAAATCACTATTCAAAATATTATTTTTTTTCAAATAATTTCCATCAGGCGAAATTACACATACTAACACTTTCACCCAAAATATCAATTAAAATATATGTATTGCAATATAATAATAATAATAATAATAATAATAATAATAATAATAATAATAATAATAATAATTTAAACTGAATATTCTTATTTTAGT